TACCTCGAAAACTCGAACGATTCCGAATGCTATTTGCCGCACGATCGCTTCCGAGTGATACATATGGAGAACGCCATTATTCACAATTAGTAAACAGTCGCTGAGAGTAACATTTTTGTGAATATTCCAGGATGTCATCTTGCAAAAATATAAGCTAATAGTAACCATGTCATCAGAAAACCCTCAGTGTATATACTGCAGGTCAAATATCTGTGTGTTATGCAGATTTTCATTTGTTGAGAGATCAGTGGCAGCGACCGGGGAAGAGAAAATCCAAAAACTGCCGAACCCTAACAAGAAGCTATTGTCTGATTGGTTAAATCCGTTCGCATTTGATTGGGCGGTCATAGGTCGCTCAAAGGTTAGCTGACACGACCTTCTACTAGGGTTTGTTAGACTCAGTATAGCAGTGTAACAAATAATACTGAGCCTAAGTTTACTTAGACTGAGAGCAAGTTGGGTTGAATACTTAATACCACTTTTAGCAGCACTTAACTGATATCTTCAAGAAGCAGCTTGATGTTGGAAGAAAGCCCAATATGAAGCATTTTTCATTCTGGGACTAAAAGTAACTGAGAAACACAGTCTGTGTTCTGAACCCCAATCATCGGTTCCTGGCATATCTAAGGGACTGAACTCTGCACAACAAACTGTGTCACCACAGACAACAGGGCCATCCATGCTTCCCAATGTCGGAAACTGATATGTCTCTTGCACAATCAATTACAATCAGATCTAGGATCTGGGTATAACAGTTACAATGAGAAGCAATATTTGAGTATCACTCTCACATTGTGTTTGATTATCTATGCACATTCATTCTAATAATGTCAAATTAATGTAAAAAATATGCAGTGAAATATTAATTTAATTTTTCTGAAAATTGCATTGATTGTAGAATTAACCAGTTAGTTTCTCAGGCAGGATATTCCCTAGCACTCTCACACTTCAGAAAAACTCATGCTTGCTTGAGTTCACAAGTCCTGACAGACTCTTAATATCTCCACTCGCCCTGTTTACAATAAACCTGAATATGATTTGTTAGCATATAAGAATTAATGGGGGTCTCACCTGAAACAGGGAATGAAAAAACATCACAGACAAAACAAAACCACTTTCATCAAATCATATGTGAGATGAAGGGCAGAAATGTTTGTTCAAGTGTGCCACAGGGCACTTACAAAGATGTTGAGACGTGCCCTTTGGAACTGGGTGTCCATAAAAAAACATGTTTATCATTTCTTCAATCTCTTAATGTCAATTGAACATGAGCAAGAATACAAGCAATTGTAATTTATAAAGTTCATTTTCTTTTCATGCAATTCCCCAGAAGGGTACATTGAGTGAAGCCCACATATGTCCCCCAATGTGATATAGCTGGAATATTGCTGAAAGTGGCGTAAAACTTAATTCACAAACTCACATCGCTTCATTCACATCACTCTTTTACATTAATGACTCAGAAACATTTTCAAGTGGTAATTTCTCATCTACAAATTACTTTTTGCACTGTTATTCTTGCAAAAGAGCACTTGGTGCTGGCTTTATATACTAAATATGCCAAAGTTGGTAAACAAATCCATTCTCATGGCCCAAAGGAATCAGGAACTATATATCAAACGTGTCACAGGCACTCTAAAATATATAGAATATACAATTGTTCAATTTTTGAAATATAATAGGTATGCTAACATGTAGCCTGCACAAAACCAAACAAAACAGCACTTCTATTTGTAATGTTTCAGGTTATGAATGCCAAAAGGATATGGGTCTGTAGGCCCAGTTGCTTTTAATATTTAACAGTGACTTGGGATTTACATCACTCTACAATGATAAATGTACTTATAAGGGGGCATGATACTTTTGTGAGCCTGTGTAACCAGTGTAACAAATCAGAGGGTACTGTGTTTGTTGTCAGAGGGTACTGTGTTTGTTGTCAGAGGGTACTGTGTTTGTTGTCAGAGGGTACTGTGTTTGTTGTCAGAGGGTACTGTGCTTGTTGTCAGAGGCTACTGTGTTTGTTGTCAGAGGCTACTGTGTTTGTTGTCAGAGGCTACTGTGTTTGTTGTCAGAGGCTACTGTGTTTGTTGTCAGAGGGTACTGTGCTTGTTGTCAGAGGCTACTGTGCTTGTTGTCAGAGTTTACTGTGCTTGTTGTCAGAGGCTACTGTGCTTGTTGTCAGAGATGACTTAATGGGATGAGATGGTCAGGCACGCTGACTGGGTTAATGCATGTCTTTCTTTCTTTGTTATTTTGACTAAAGAGGAACACTTTTTATGGATAGACAACTTCTTTATTTCTTTGACTGGCATTTTAGAAGTTGAGGAGATGAAGAATGGGGAAAATTTTATGGATATACAACTTCTTTATTCTGTATAGGCGACGTTTCGACATAAATTCTAATGTCGTTGTCAAGCACTTGCTGTTGTATATCCATAAAATTGTTCCATTCTTCAACTTCTTTATTGTAATAGATGCAACGTTTCGCGTAGATACTAACACTGTTATCAAGCAAATGATTATTTGCAAAATCATGTTTGATAATGGTGTTAGCATCTACAGCTTCTGAATGCCACTTAAAGATGTTATTTTGTTTCTTGTTTGACGCTCGACTCATCAATATTCCAGTATGGCGTCAGTCTGTAAATAATCAAGTATGGGCCAGACAATCCAGTGATCAGCATCATGAGCATCGATCTACGCAGTTGGGATAGGATGACATGTGTGAACCTGTTGCAGTCAGCAAGTCTGACCACCCGATCTTGTTAGTCACCTTTTACAACAAGCATGGGTTACTGAAGATCAATTCTCACAAGTGACTGTATCCATATTGTGTAGATCCATGCTCATGATGTCAATCACTGGACTGTCTAGTCAAGTGAGTGAGTGAGTGAGTGAGTGAGTTTAGTTTTACGCCGCACTCAGCAATATTCCAGCTATATGGCAGCGGTCTGTAAATAATTGGGTCTGGACCAGACAATCCAGTGATCAACAGCATGAGCATCGATCTGCACTGTCTAGTCCAGACTGGAATATCTACATCCGGCCATCATGCAGCTTGAATATTGCTGAGTGGGACATTAAACAACTGAAACAGCAGTTCAATCTTATATGTTACTGGGAACATTACAAACTCAGGCATATATAAAACTAAAAACTCTAGAAAATACAAACTTAAACAATTTCAAGCACTGTGTTTACGTCTCCACAGAAGTTTGTTTCAAAAAGCATAAAAACATCTGCTTATTGTTTGAGAGATGTAAATCTCTCGTAGTAAAGTATGATATGGTGTTGCACCAATAATGGTGGCCGGAATTCTAACCATCTGACAGGCATAACTGCCAACCTGTCTCTCAGCTTAAGATCTTTTGAAATCTCTGTGTTTTCTGGTCGGCAAGACATAGCATAGCTATACATTCAATAAGATTATTTCTCAAATACGCTATCTTGTAAGAAACATAAAGTCTGCAATAACATGGGGCCTACCTTCATCAAAGTAAAGTTATTATTGGGTCCAATACTTTTAAGATCACTCCAACTTGTTCCAACATTCCTTCAAATGCCTTTTAATGAAAAACTTCAAACGACAAATCGTTGGTAAAAAAAAGTTTTTAGTCCACATTCAAAAGAGAAGACAATATAGATCACAAATAGATCAATCACTCTTACATAGGATCATCATGCTCAAAGCCTATAGTTATACACAACTTATGCGCTCAACCAACAAAACTACCAAACAGAACAAAACTGAAGGACCAGATTTCCTGTAATAAATGCCCCTGTGTCAAGTGTATCACCAGCCTCTTTTCGATACCCGTCTGACTATTTATTACATGGTTTCAAAATACAATAAACTAAGTTAGTAACAAACACAGTTACTACGTACTGACTGGAAACGAACTGGGTTGTTTTGCCTAAACCTCTAGTTGTAAGTTTTAGTCTAAATGTGTATAACTATGGTTATAATGAACTATAACCAATGGCCCATTTGAGTTCATTATAGTTGTAAGTGTAATTTATTCACTGTTTTATTGGACCACATGACCTTCTTGAAAGGGCTCCTTCATAAAAATAATGAAAATAGAAATTATTATTATTTATATTTACACTTATTTCACCAAAAGAACACTATGAATTAGTATTTTACAACAAAGGGGTAACCATTTTGTTTTCCAAAACCCAGCACAGATTGTCCTCATTCATAGATTCCTTTCAATTTAAAAAGTAGACATATTTTGAATAAAGTGATTGAGAGAAGGTTTGCCATACAGTTTGGGTTTGTTTTGGGTTTTTTTGCTTTTGTGTTGGACTTTGTTGTTGTTTGGGGTGGTGGAGTGTTTTGGGTTTTTTTGGGTTTTATTCTGTTGGGTTTTTTTGTTTCTGGTGTGGGTTGTTGTTTTTTGTTTTGTTTTGAATTTTTTGGGGGTTGGGGGGTGTAAAACTTATGAGTTGCAGACAGTCAGAGAAGTATAAGTGAGCAGTAAATCTTACATTGGCAAACGTTCTGAAAAACTGATGTCATGATAAAAACGTGAACAGGTGAATGGATAGAGTCTTAAGGCAGCTTTACCACAAGCAGGTTTATTGATACAATTTTTAGAAGACCCCGATCTACACACGTTTAGGGTCAAAAGGATAAAGGCGTCTGATGGAGGAAATACGGTAACTGCGGACTGTTTTAATCAGTTGCTCCAGACAATCTGACGAACAATGCCGTCGGAGAAAGTCTATGCTGTAATCCTCCGTGTGTGACAGTGCATGCTACTAAGTCATAAGTCAGAAGTTGGTGATTTCAATTAGGCTGACTAGGCGTACGCGATATTAGTACATAAGTTATCGCGTGATTAGGACGTAACATTGCGACATCATCGGGATTGGGAGGGCGTGTCCGTCTGTCCTCGCGAATTACGCCTATTTACGTATCTGTGACTGAGTGGCGATGCTTAACTGAAAGAATCACACTGACAAATGATCAAGCTAACATATATAACAATAATTACCTTACAAACAGATGCGGTAGACGGCTCTGTCGACGAACAACACGTGTTTCAATACGACAGCAAAACCACGCGCCATTGGAACTCTTCCGGTGAAGAGGTACATTTGACACCCGCTACAGAAAATCCACAAGGAAGTTGACACAGGTGCTTGATACTCAGGAAACTGACGAGCAGGTGAAATTTGGAATCAAACACAACAACAATATTTTGTTGCGTTTAGTTTTTCAATGACAAATGGTAAATATAACTCTGTACATGCCTCAAAGAATTCGAAAGGTATTCTTAGCCGATGCCAACAGTCAAGCAGATTGACAGTAATGCCATATTTACTTAAAAAATACTTCAAGATTATAAATTTGTGTTATAAGAAGAGTTCTTTAGGTGCCAATAACACACAACATGTTAAAATGAATTCAAATATATAGCAGTATGTCTGGCCTCACTATCTACATGACTGTATGAAAGCTCCACATAATTACTGCTTCAGAATCGGTAAAAACGCAAACATAATTGCTGGGTTGGTTGGTTGTTGTTTAACGCCGCACTGTAAATAATCGAGTCTGGACCAGACAATCCAGTGATCAACAGCATGAGCATCGATCTAAGCAATTGGGATACGATGACGTGTGTCAACCAACATGACCACCCGATAATTGCCGTGAGAACTCGTCAAATATGCCATTGAATCATTTAAAATTAATTAATCAGTGAGTGAGATTTACTTTGCAAAAATGGATTATATATAGAATCGATGTGATTATGTTTACCATAAGTGAAGATGCTTCAAATGCCGACGCCTATTTTCTGGTCTAAGAGGTGAGTGAGTTGGATTTGTCGTGGATCTTGTGTTCAGGCACTGGTTTGCTTGTTCCAGGCTTGATCTTTTTATAGGTTTCCGTGACATGGCTTCCACATCCTTCAATACCCGGGGATCAATATGATCAATACCCGGGGCCTTTTCAACACTATGTCTAAAGACAAGAGGCAATAATAGAAAAGAGAAGAGAATTACAGTGGCCAAAAGTGAGATCGCAAAACTGTCTGCGCTGAAAAGGGTGCAGACGTCAGGTATATATATAATTCGCATGTGTCGCATCTCTGTATTTGATAATAAATCGTCACTCAGTTGAAAGTTCTGAAACATTGTCTGGAAAGACGAGTTCATGAAATCAGAAACAAAGACGATCTGTTCGGATCATCGAGGATATATGGAGAGGCCTCTCACTTCCTTACACCAGGAGCGACAGCATTTCAGCTCGGATTCGACAGGTTCTTAGATCTCGAGGTCATATCTTAAAATACTGAAAATTTCATGTGCGTACCATTTCAATTTACAAAGTTAAGTTAAGTTATTGTGCTTTAGGATCGTGGTACAAAATCGGGAAATAACGTGAGTCACACCTCTGCGAACTCATTTTGGCCACTGACTGTATGTGCTATGTTTGAGTCGTAGAGATGCAAATGCGTCCAGAGTGTTTATCAAAACCGAATTAAATACCCTTCACCAACCAGGATGCTGATCGCGGCGTAAAACAATATTTCCTCAACCTCAATCACCACAGAAAGCACTGGTAACTGTTTTATGAATCAAACCCATACACCAACACATGAACGCACGGATGGACGCTTTGTTATCCAGAAAGGCTTCAAACAAAATTCAATATTAAGAAGAGGCACGCGTTATTAGAGAGAGAAATTTTCAAAGAAAAGAGATAACTCATTTTTCTGTTAATTATAGCAGGGTTCGCTTTCTGTTATTTGAACATGCTTGCAATGATAGCACTATGACGTCAAAACGCCCTTGGCACAGTGTTATATGTTAAATCATCTGAAGATAATACATCTAATGTCCTTTTCCAACCCTTGATCTGTTAAAGCAGAAATATTTTTGCAGGAAAACCTATATGGGCTACCGCCAACGGCACATGATAAAATATCGGAAACGCTTTCTTGTGATATTTTTGTGTTGGATCGGTTAAGTCGTGTTCTTTATAACCTTTAGTTAGAACTAAAGTTGCCCCTGGGATTTCGTCCTAAGTCTTTCCCTTTTTACGCCGAAACCTGCGGATTGCACATGCAACAGAGAAAGTGTTTTGGATGGTGTTTAGCACTTGTGGTAAGACGTGCATTAGCCAGGCAAACGTGAGCCGCCATCTTTGATGTCGGAGGCAAATGAAACAAACTACAAGCATGGAGGAAATGGTTGCAGCGACGCGTTGGATACGGGTGTCTTGGGCAACATCACATGTGGATGAGTATCTCATAGCACATGCTCAGTATAGTGATGATGGGCGCAAACGTAAGTTCGCCAGAAGGTCCACAACAGGTAACTTGGACTATACCAGTCAGGACAAGCCATTTCTGGTGTCCCCCGCCCTGATATTGCTGGAATATTGCTAAAAGCAGCGTAAAGCTCAACTCACCCACCCACCCATACATTTGCCATCAGACACTACTTCAGGTAAACAGGCCTAGCTCAGAGCAAGGTTCATACTGGAAATCCCATGGCCTAGATTTTCGAAGCTCTCTTAGCGCTAAGAGAGTTGTAAGTTAATGTTAATGTATGGCACTTACGACTATCTACGACTTACGACTCTAGCTATGGTCAGCACGGTTACAGTGTAACGATATCACTTCCAGTTAACAAATATTTGGGTAATGCAGTTTAGGACTGAAAAGCAATGTCTCAAACATGTTACCAATTCACACTTTAAATCTAATAACCTTGACCTTGAATGCCAGCAAAGGTTTAATTGCAACAACAGTTGTTACCCTAGTCTGATTTGAAACAGAAACTTTCGACTTTTCACATGCCAAGAAATATAAGCCCCACAATATATATTGAGTGCTTTCGGTGATCCCAGATCTCTCTACCTAGAGAAACATTTGGAATCGCTGCATCTCTCCTTAAATAATATAGCTAAACTGCCCACAGAGCCGTTGTACAAAACAGCCTCAGCGCTGCCATGATCACATAAGCCTTTGCCAAAGTATGGGACTTTGCCAAAGCACCGTGGGCCCTGTTGCACAAAGCTAACTCAGCATTAAGGTGAACTCCATGATCAACTCCATGCTTTAACATAGGCTTATGCCAGTCGTAGTGCTAAGATCGATTTGTACAAGGACATCCTATTGCCTAGTCACTTTTACACCATCAACTTCATATGCTGTCTTATCCTCGTGCTCATAACTATGTGTTCCTTTAACTAATGTTCTGGATCTGATCCCGACGTGCTCCTTTAACTAATGTACAAGATCTGATCCCACGTGTTCCTTTAGCTAATGTACAGGATCTGATCCCACGTGTTCCTGTAGCTAATGTACAGGATCTGATCCCACGTGTTCCTTTAACTAATGTACACGATCTGATCCCACGTGTTCCTGTAGCTAATGTACAGTATGTGATCCCACGTGTTCCTTTACCTAATGTACAGGATGTGATCCCACGTGTTCCTTTACCTAATGTACAGGATCTGATCCCACGTGTTCCTGTAGCTAATGTACAGGATCTGATCCCGACGTGTTCCTTTAACTAATGTACAGGATCTGATCCCGACGTGTTCCTTTAACTAATGTACAAGATCTGATGCCGACGTGTTCCTTTACCTAATGTACAGGATCTGATCCCACGTGTTCCTGTAGCTAATGTACAGGATCTGATCCCGACGTGTTCCTTTAACTAATGTACAGGATCTGATCCCGACGTGTTCCTTTAACTAATGTACAGCATCTGATCCCGACGTGTTCCTTTAACTAATGTACAAGATCTGATGCCGACGTGTTCCTTTAACTAATGTACAGGATCTGATCCCACGTGTTCCTTTAACTAATGTACAGGATCTGATCCCGACGTGCTCCTTTAACTAATGTACAGGATCTGATCCCCGCATGTTCCCTTAACTAATGTACAGGATCTGATCCCACGTGTTCCTTTATTTAAAGTACAGGATCTGATCCCGACGTGCCTCTTTAACTAATGTACAGGATCTGATCCCACGTGTTCCTTTAACTAATGAACAGGATCTGATCCCTAAGTGCCCCTTTAACTAATGTACAGGATCTGATCCCCAAGTGCCCCTTTAACTAATGTACAGGATCTGACCCCACGTGTTCCTTTAACTAATGTACAGGATCTGACCCCACATGTTCCTTTAACTAATGTACAGGATCTGATCCCCGCGTGTTCCTTTAACTAATGTACAGGATCTGATCCCCAAGTGCCCCTTTAACTAATGTACAGGATCTGATCCCAAGCGTGTTCCTTTAACTAATGTACAGGATCTGATCCCCAAGTGCCCCTTTAACTAATGTACAGGATCTGATCCCCGCGTGTTCCTTTAACTAATGTACAGGATCTGATCCCCAAGTGCCCCTTTAACTAATGTACAGGATCTGATCCCACGTGTTCCTTTAACTAATGTACAGGATCTGATCCCCAAGTGCCCCTTTAACTAATGTACAGGATCTGACCCCACATGTTCCTTTAGCTAATGTACAGGATCTGATCCCCACGTGCTGCTTAAACTAACGAACAAGATCTTATCCCCAGACGACGAGCCCTTGACCACTCTCTCCTTTTGTTGAAAGCGTTAAATTGTTGACCAAAGTGTTAAGTTATTGACCAGGACATATTCTCCAGAACTACAATATAATCTCCAGACATCGAGTGTTTACCCGATGTCTCCCGATGTCTCCCGAGTTAATGTTGATTCCCAGAGCAGTTCTTAGAACGTACACAAATACTATTGGACACGCCACTAGCTATTAATGCGGACTGACGCGGTGGTCTCGAGCTCAGTACACAGTGGGATATATGTTCACACTAAGTCCATAATCAGAGGGGAAGCAATTTGCATAATTACATAATTAGTGGGGGTGAGGTGATATGTGTGTGTGTGTGTGTGTGTGTGTGTGTGTGTGTGTGTGTGTGTGTGTGTGTGTGTGTGTGTGTGTGTGTGTGGTTTTGGTATGTTTGTAAGCAAGCAATTGCTACCTACCTGACGACCCTTGTAATTTTATAATGACATTGGATTTTCAAGTGTATGTTACAGCAAGTAATTGTAAACATTATCAAATATATTTCAATTTCAGCTTATATTTTAATCCCTCAGTATTAGTCCCAAT